CTTTACTAGTTACTTGAAAAAAGTAATCTGATTACGTAACTCGCATTACTTGTAATGAGTTACCCCCAACACTGCTGAACATAGATTTCACACTTTCCTCAATCTTTCGATTCCACATTTATTTTGAACTGCATTCCTATTCTCAGTTCTATGTAGATATTACCCTTTCATGCGGCCCAGCACGAGCCCTCCTACTGAAACCCTGACCTTAACCATTGGACAGGAAACCTCTAGATTGAACCAGGATCAGACTAAAACTGAACCTCCTACAACACCTTGGGACAGCTTTTCTCTTTCTGGCAGAACCAACAACTGCCTGCAGTCTAGAGAGCTTTTTTCTTCGGTCTTGATGCTGAAAGCCGACTGGCACCTACAGGGATTTTCTGGCCAAATTCTCAACTTTCTTCAAGTGTCCATAGGTTTCTGCGTTGCTATCTGCCAATTTAAACAGTCAAGCCTCTCTCGCTCTGGCCTATTCCACTTCCTGTGCTCTTGTGATGTCGTGAGGCACTGATGGCGGTTAGGAAACTGCAGACTGATTAATGCAGCACAAAGGCATTCACAAACTTGGTTACACAACAGCTAGTTTGTTTTACCTAGCGTAAAGGCAGAAACTAAAGCTAATTTGAAGTTAGCATGCTCTGCTACAACACTCTGCTAATATAAGACGTTATCACACAACTAGACATGAGAACACACAACTTGAGCACAATATAATCTGAATACAACTGAAATAGCACAACAGCAAGTCAAAGCAATGAGCACTTTTGAGTCAAAACAGAACCTTATCTGAAGTTTTGCAGCTAAACACGAACATGCAGCGGCTCAGTGCTTTACATTGATGTTTTTCAGTGTTGATAACTACATTAACACCTCTTTCTACAACACTCTGCAGTTAACACAAGATGTTATCACAGAACTATACATGCAAACACAACTTGGGTACAGCATAATCCAAATGCTACAGAAATACCACAACAGCAAGTCAGAATGGACACTTTCAGGCCAAAACAGAAGCTGATCTGTGTTTTTTGCAGCTAAACACAAAACATGCAGCAGCTCCACGCACTACATTTCTGTTTTTCGGTGTTGATAACTACATAAAACCTCAAAATCATCTTAATCAGTATGTTTTAAGTATTTTAAAGTTGTATCCCTCCGACCCCAGATGCCACTCACCAAAATAAACAGGCTTCCCACATATAGGACAGAAGCTCACCATGGTTGTAGCAGATCTCTAAAAGTTTTTGATGCGTGAGATGTTGAGATGCAGGAAATATGTGAGCCTCTCAACTGTGACAGCCTCAAAGGATGTGGCAAGAGGTGCAGTGACAGGAAGCAAGAAATGATACACTCAAGAAAATACACTCAATTCGAACAGTCAGACAACAGAGAGGAGGAAAATGTTGGTCAGAAGTGTGTGTGAGTGCTGTGATATGATGAGCAGGGCTTGGACTGAAGTCAGTCTTGCTGTTTTAAAGACACTTCACACTTCTGCTGTGGTCAGTCGTTGCGGTTTGCAATCAAAGATGATGCTGAGGGCCATGTGAGGTCATCAGACTTGTCGGAGTCGGTTATGAAATGAAAGCTTGTGGCTTGTTTGCTGGATGCGAGTCAAAGGAACAACAGACAGGGAGATTGAGAGGGACAGAGAGAACGAGAGCGACACAGATGTCAGCTGCTCGGATTTCATAGGTTGTCATGGTCGCCGCTTCTCAACCCCTCGATCTGTCGCAGCAGTTACCCTGTCGTAGAAAAAGTACCCTTTTTCATCCTCTTTCTCTCCATCCAAGAGATTAAAAAGCTCCAGTGTGGGAGAATGGGAGTTTAGGAGAAACCCAAAACTGCTGCCGCACACACAGAGAGAAGCGATGACATCACCGAAAGGCACTTGATCGGATGAGCACAGAAAACTGTGAGAAGGAGAATCATTTAAGCCGAGACTGAGAGCGTGTTTTGTGTACGTGCGTGTTGAGATATAAAGAATGAATAAGAGTCTGGCTCGAGCTGCAATGCACTATTGCCCTCAGTTTAGCATGATTTATACACATACACACTACTCCTCCACAATGTGTGAGCTGGAAGGGAAAACACATAGATTTCATTTAAATAGGATGAGCTTTGTTATGGTCTGCGTGTCTGAACAATTCAATGTGGAATTCCCGCATGTGATTTTTTTATACATATAATAAATAGCCTAGTAAATGCTCAGCTGCAACTGAAAATGTATAGATTTTGTAAATTCAGATTCTAATGCTTTTTGTCTATGAATGTAGCCTATGTGTTGCCTTCACTTTGTCACTATTTAAAACAATTATATGTTGCATTGTTGGAGTATTTAAAGGGGTCATAGGATGCTACATGCACTTTTACAAGTGACAGGGTAAAACAGGTGTTTTTTACACTACCATTGAGAAATTTAAACCAAACTATGTTACAGACTGTTCATTAAGACCCTAAAGAATCATATCAACTTGTGGAAAATGGGCATCCGATGACCCCTTTAAAAAAGGCAATAAAAGGGCAGCTTTTAGAGGTGCACTCTACTTTTTTTCCTATCCTATATTTTTTCTCATTAAAATATTTTTGAAATCATGTGCATTTACATGGGATGAAGACTTCAAGAAGTAGTTTAATAAAAGCTGTTTTATTGTACATGGAGCAGTTGCCTCATAGAAGCTGGCATGTTGACGGACACTTTTGTTATACATTCATCATAGCTGAAGCATATTTAATATGTTGAAAATGTCTGCATTTGCATGATGCTGCATCCATTTCAAATAAATGCTGTTCTTTTGAACTTTGTATTCATCAATGAATCCTGGAAAAATGTATACGTTTTCACAAAAAATAATAAAAAATAAAATAAAAAAAAGTATAAAAATAACACAACTGAACACCAAATCAGCAAATTAATGATTTTTGACATATAATGTGACACTGAAGACTGAAGTAATGACTGCTGAACATTCAGCTTTATCATCACAGGAATAAATTACATTTTAAAATATATTAAAATAGAAAACAGTTATTGCACATTGTAATAATATTTCACAATATTACTGTATTTTTGATCAAATAAATGCAGCCTTTAAAAAAAAAACATTAAAAATAGGTAGTGTAGTTCCACAAGTACCACAGGTACACAGAGGGTTAACTAAAGTGTGTTTCTGTTGGACAGGTGAGTGTCTCTTCTCAGCATTTGGTCCAATGGTTGCTCGACAGTCTTGTGTATACTGAACCAACTTCATTCAGTGAGGGATAAAAACATTTCCCATCAAGCCTAACTGGGAACTTCACCAAACAGCAGAGTCAGAGCCCTGTCCACATGAGTGCTTGTTCACACACACACACACACACACACACACACACACACACACACACACACACACACACACATTAGCGTCTACTGCCAAACTACACAGAGAAGAGCAAAACAGGGTTAGAGGAAGGGAGGGCTTCTCTTTCTGTCCTTTTTCATGCTGGGTTGGTTTGGCTCTCACAAACTAGCCTAAATCCTCTTCTTTCTGGCTGAGAAATGGAGGAGAGGGGATAGAATAAGAGTAGGGAAAAGTGGAGTAAGAGTGTCGCCCTCTTAATCATGCAAACTGTGGACAGTTTCTGCCATGTGAATACATATTTAGAAAGTACTTACCACATACAGCTGCCCAGATGCACATGAAAACAGTTGTTTGCACTTCAAAGTATATTTTCTACATGACACATAAGACTAATCTGATGTCAAAGCAGATTTATTCAGGACTAAAATATACATTATACATTATATTGGTGAATTGCCAATGAAAAGAGAACATGTAAGTGATTTGGCTAAAGATTAACCATGAATTATTAAAAGAAGCATCCCAAAATGGTAGCTGTGGGACAAAGTGAGTCAGATGCATCTGGGTAAGCAGTGTCAGTGAAATATTATTACAAAATGCTGACTGTTTTACTACACATTCAAATATTCTAAATATTAACCCCCCTTTATGTATTAGACCTTTGTGAAAATGTGAATAATATAGTATGCAGGAAAACAAGACTTTGGGAGTGTACAGTAGTACAGGGGTTCCCAAATTTTTTATTCCAGGGACCATCTAGAACTACAATAAATAAATTAAAACTTAAAAAAATTATTCTCTTTCAGTTGATATTGCTTTTATTTCCCTTGTCATATTATTGAAAGGCCTACTACTTATTAATTTAATTGCATTACTCTCATCTAGCATAACTATACAAATGAGAATAGACATGAATAAATAATTTTGAGGTGTACAGATAAATAGAGAATATATATTTTTTTGCTTTCTTGCAGAGAAGAGCAGCCTAATAGTTATATTGAAGTAACTGAACTTCTATAATTTATTATAGCTGCTCTAACCAATTCTGTGACTTAATTCAACAAAGAATTTTGATTGATTCAAAAAGCTAACTCCTGAGTCTTTTTGAATGATTCATGAAAAGAATCAACTCAAAGAGTTACTCTACTGGTCGAAAGTTTGGAATATTAAGATTTTTTTAATGTTGTCTCTTATATGCTCACCAAGACTGTATTTATTTTACCAAAAAATACAGTAAACTAAATTATATTGTGAAATATTATTACAAAAAAGAACAGTTTTCTATATGAGTGTAATTTTTAAAATGTATTTATTCCTGTGATGGCAAAGCTGAATTTTCAGCATATTAGTATGACTTCTGAAGGACCATGTGACACTGGATTTTAAATTGTAATAATGTTTCACAATATTTCTAATTTTACTGTATGTTTGTTCAAATAAATGCAGCTTTGGCGAGCATAAGAGACTTCTTTCAAAAATATTTTAAAAACTGCAAAATCATATTCCAAACTTACTGTTAGCGTATCTGACTAGAAGATCATGATTAGTATTTGTAGAGGTTTTGCAGTTATGGGCTTTTGTGTTTAAAACCCAGTGCATACAATACTGACAAGCATTAATAACCTGTCATAAAGCATGTTTATGTAAACAGTATGTGGCATGTTAAGTTCCAGAGCCGCAGGCCTGAGACAAGCTGCCATGTGTGTGATGTATAATGTTTGTAAGTCTCAGTAGGTTTTGGCATGACATCCATGGGCCAAGAGACTTAAAAGCAGACAGCGATTCTACACCCGACGTACCAGAAACTTGGCAAACACATTCGATCTCTGATGTTAACAGGGAAGATGCAGCACGGGACGACTAGACCAGAATCCCACTATCTCTACTCCAAAAGACATCACAGCGATTCCCAATCAGTAAACTCATCTGTCCCAGCCAACTGGTGAAATCTAACTATTCAAGGACAGCTTAAGACAACCCAGCTGCTATACCAGAATGCACCATTTTTGAGGAACAACTATAAAACTTACTTTTAGGCGTAGTAGACGTGTTTTTATGTTTACAGGCCCGCAGAGGTGATTAAACCCAGGTCTTCCACTAATTAATGCTGACTAGCAACACCCAAGTCGACGCGTCTTAATCAAAACCGGCTTTCAGCTTACGGTGTGAAAATGTGGTAGTTTATAATTGCATTCAGAAGGGAGGGCGAGTCAGCCAGCAGAACGAAAGACTCTTAAATGTGTTGATTCTTGCCTTTGCATTCTTGGCATTTCTCTTCAACCTTTTTCTGTCTTATAGTTTTTCCTCTCGGTTCTCATGCGAAGCAGCCAATGCCAATTCCCTCAGATTTGGTTTGGCTTAAACGCAAGGAGGCCGGCCGCTCTCCTCCCTTCTCCCTCTCTCATTTCCTGTGTTTTTTCCCTTCTTTCTCTCGCTCATTCTCACCCAGCTCTCTTCCTCTCTCTCGGTCTCACTCGCTCGCTCTCTTTTTTGAGACTAGTCACACTGGTTTTAGAGGGTTCCAGTAATTCCTTTGTCCTTTAAATAAATAATGCAAAGCACAGCTTCCTCTGGCTTATGTGCATATACACATTTCACTGCATTACAAAGATCTCTTGATGAATAAAATCTGCCTGGTCAAGGAAAAAGAGTGCTGGGAATGGGCACAGTGTAACAACTGAAAACATGAAACTACTGTAAAATATTTATCAAGTGTTAATAAAAGAGTTGTATACTTAAAAGCAAGTTTTTCACCATGTTTAATATTGCATTAGATCAGAATCCGAGCGCATGTTAATTTTTAATTTGAGCGTATCAGCATTTTAAATCATCAGCCCTGCCTGAATTTTAATTATCCCTCAATATTAGTGAGGAAACGTACGATATGCCCCCCCTTCGCCATCTCACCCTTTGTTTCTCCTCTCTCCTCATACAGCTGGTGTATGCTGGGTGCCCCTCCCCCACCATTTGAACAAACCAATAAGAGGGCCTATCAGCTGAGCCCCCTCCCTTACACACACTCTCACACACCTCCCTACCCCCATCCTCTCTCTCTCCCCATCCCCCTATCCCCCTCTCTATCACTTCCCCATATTTCCTTTCAAAGCAGCCCCTCTTGCTGCCATCTCTCGCCCAATCTTTAAATTATCACTACAGAACACACCTACTATAAGTGTATTATCTTTTCTATGTGTGTTTCAACGTAACCGGGAAAGATCTTACTCTTTACAAATAAAGAGGTAATAGGACAGGCATAAAATGCTTTCTGGGAAGCATATGACTCGCATGTGAGCGTGTTTTTCAAAGAAAGTGAGATAAAAACAGTGTGTCAAGGTGGGATTTGGAAATGGGACTCACACACCCAAATACACTCATCATTACAGCTCCTATGTGACTCATTGAAGACTTCTTGAAGACAAATGCATGAAAAAAGGTTAAAAAGCAGCCCCCTTTTAAGGACATACTACTATACTTTGACATACATTTGATACTCAGACTAAATTACATTAATCCAAGACTAAGAGAAGTTAATCTAGAATCATGCTTTTGAAAAGTAAACAACAGACTCTTGTCAATTTCTTAAAATCCTTGTTTTTATCTTGGTCGATTTACATGTCCACACTATTGCTACTGGCCAACAAGAGGCGTGATCAGGTTTAAATGTCCAACAAGCCCTAGAGAATGGCCCGTGTTAACAACTACAGGCGAAGCAAATCAAACGTTTACATAAATCGAAAAAGTGCAGGGGATATTTAAGGGAATAGAGGCAGTTTACACGAGTTGTCAAGATAAATTGGAGAAGCATCTAACGTTTGTAAATTATTCACGCGTTTCCCCTTCAGCGGCGCATCTCACTAGCTTGCATTCCCTTCAGTGTTCCAACTAGACCAGAGCAATAGAAACACGATAGCAGCCATATGGTTGTATATATAATATAATAATAATAATTATTATTATTATTATTATTAATTTATTAATTATTACAGATAATAATAATAATAATAATAATAATAATAATGAAAGTGAAAAAAGTGAAAGTGACGTGGCCAAGTATGGTTACCCATACTAGGAATTAGTGCTCTGCATTTAACCCATCCTAAGTGCACACACACAGCAGTAAACACACACACACACCGTGAACACACACCCGGAGCAGTGGTCAGCCATTTATGCTGCGGCGCCCGGGGAGCAGTTGGGGGTTCAGTGCCTTGCTCAAGGGCACCTCAGTCGTGGTATTGAAGGTGGGAGAGAGCGCTGTACATTCACTTCCCCCACCTACAATCCCTGCCGGTATGAGACTCGAACCCGCAACCTTTGGGTTACGAGTCCGACTCTCTAACCATTAGGCCCCGACTTCCCACATATTTTAAATATCCCACATAATTAATATTATTATTATATGAGTTAAATACAGTATATAAAGAAATAACTATTTTATAATTTTATTTTAAATTTATGCCATTAAAGATGCATAAAGTGAAATGGAAATGCAAACAATGAGGAAAAAACACATAACAAACAAAATACACAAGATAAACAGTTAAGGACATAAAAAAATAATAATGTTGCCTACAGTCGGACAAGAAGAGTAAAGAAGAAAACCAACTATGTGAAAGTACTAAAGAAAAGTTTTCAGTCTAAAATTCTATAGGCTAAATCTGGAGATGGTAATGATTTGATTTGCAGCATTCCTCTTTAAATCATTAATCAAGCACTAATAAGTAGGCTAAATTTAAATACAATAGAAATACAGGGGTAAAATAACTGTCACTATTATTTGCTGTTTGAATGAAAATGTTTCTTATCTTATAGTGGGAAATGTTGTAACAACAGCACTGTTTATACATTAATTTGGGGGAAGTCGTGGCCTAATGGTTAGAGAGTCGGACTCGTAACCCAAAGGTTGCGGGTTCGAGCCTCA